AGTTTTAAGACTGAATATATTTATAGGTGTTCCTTAATGTTTTCCTATTACATGAACCAAATTTAGGTAGTTTTAAGACTGAATATATTTATAGGTGTTCCTTAATGTTTTCTTATTACATGACTCTCAAGCCATGTACCCATCTAGTAATGTGGTGTGCCACACCACATCTCCCTTGGGAGAGTGACGGGTCACTCTCATGTAACCCCGTTACATTACCCTTCGCAGCAATACTGTGGACTTTGATCTCAGAGGGTTGCGCGACCGTGCCGCGAGGGCTGAGCGCCGTAATGTACACGAGAACAACATGCAGATGCAAGTAGATACATAAATTTATGTATCTTAAGAATGGCAGCCTAAAAGCTGCGATCCCACGACATCGAATCCAGAGCTGCGTAGGACAAGTAGAGGTTATAGTCAAACTGACTTAACGCTGAATACATGCCACCTTTGAAATAGAATAGCGTAGCAAACAAATTACCGGAGATTCCTGGCTCTTTCCTTGAGTGAAGCTATTAAAGTCATCCTCTGTGTTCTTGTTGACGTAGACTCGTGATGTCAAAGCTTTCTCAGTGCGAGGTTCACGGCTAGAAAATTATCATGTACTGCATAGCAAGCCACGCGTCTCGCCGGCCTTTTCTTTGCAAAGTCCCTTCAAAATCTAATCATGGTGCTAGATTATTTCGTTCGAGCACCATAACCCAATAACAGTAATAAGGTTCAGGAGAAATAGCTGTTTTTTAAGATATTTCTCGGTACAATCTACTTCACGAGACGTCGCAAGCAAAAGATACTCGCTAGTAATTCCACTTGACAAAACAAATGCCGTTGGTACCTCGATACACATGGGAGGAAGACTCGAACAGTCTTGCACTAGAGCTGCATCTACCCGGAATAGCACCACGAAACATCGACATTTATGGTACGATCGAAAATTTTTAGTTTTTGACGATGATGCACTCAATTCAAGGAGTTGTACCTTAATCTAGTAAGCGATCTCGTGATCAAGGTCAATGCTACGCCGTATGTGCTTCTTTTGGATCTACAAGATGCGGTGGATGATGCATCTGTGGTTGTACAAAGCATCCCCACATCGAATCAACTTCGGATTTCGTTGAAAAAAGTGGAGAGTCGAATGTGGAAAAATCTTCAGTTTCAAGGCTCAAAGAGTGTCCTTAGAGAGCGTCGTGATGCATCGATGGAGCGAAGAAGAGCAAGCGAGATGGCATTCAGTGAGAAGAGGAAGGAAAAGAGGCATCAGGTAGAGAGAGAGACGTTGCGTGCTCAAATGGCAGTCGACGATACGAATCGTCAAATACTCAGCGATTTAAAGGCGGAGGAGAAAGATCGAGAAGAGGTAGCGCACTTATGCTGATGTGATTGAATGAATTAAGGGTTAATCGCTTTTAAATTTGATAGCGAAGCTTGTACGAGTCATTTCGAGAGCTTCAATCTCAAACACAGCAGCAGAAAGAAAGAGAAATCCAACGGACAGAAGACCAGTCCGTGGTCACGGAATCTTCAATGGCTGATAAAATTGATGAAGATTCAAAGACAAGTAGCAATCATTTGCAGAGCAAAGTGTCTTTTGTTTTGCCGCCAAAAGATAGCGACAACAAGGTCAAAGAAGAAATTATTGAGTTAACAGACGATGGCTGCTTTGACATCTCAAGCTCGACAAAACAATTCAAAAGTTTTCATGAATCGATTGTTGCTACTACAGCAAAAGATTCAAATAACGCTGAAAGCAGAAATTCGAATGAGAATTCTCGAAATGAGGCTATTGAAGTGATTGCTAGTGATATCACATCCGAGCAACAAGACAAATTGAACTTACCACCTCCTCGACAATGCATAACGTCAGAAATTCGCTTCACTCCTCGAGTTTTTCCAACACCGACACGAGAATCCAAAGCTGCGGAAGAGGAAAACTGGTTACTGAAGAACCGCAAGCACATCAAGCAACATCAAGGTCTTCATCGCTCGTCTGATTACGATATCAGTGAAACCGATCGTATGTTCTTGATAACAAAATGCTCTTATTGTCAATTCTAACTTGTTCATTTGTAGCGATGTGGTTGAAAGCTAAAGGCGACGATTTTTTTCATACAAAAGACTTTCGAAGTGCCATAAACGCATACGGTGAATCCATTCTGGCCGTATCTAACGACAATACAGAGTTTCTCGCGACATGTCTATCAAATCGTGCAGCTTGTCTATTGCAGCTTGGCGAATTTGAGGTCATTTGATTCATTTCTACTACAATGCTCAATTTTGTAGACGATTTTAATTGTGCCATGATATGTGTTGTGACCTTAGGAATGCATTACTGACTGCTCAAAAGCACTGACGTATCTACCAGACACACGCGATAAAAATGACAATATGAAAAATTACCGCCTTAAGCTCAAACTCTTTGTGCGACGTGGCACTGCGTACTGTCGAAGTGGTCAGTATAGTCAAGCGAAAGCCGACTACGGTGTCGCGTGCTCCATGGATACTCAAAACTCACAGCTTCACGACGACTTCATGGAGCTCATAGCGATGGAAAAAGCTCAAGAGTTCAAGCAAATTGGCGATACGATCTTTAGAGAAGGCAAAAACCTTGCCAATGCTATTCAAATGTACTCCGAGTCGTTGCAATTAAATCCTCTTTCCATCGCTTGCTTATCCAATCGCGCTGCGTGCTACCTGATGCAACATTGTGCCAAGGAATGCATTTCAGACTGTACAAATGCACTTGAATTACTCCAAGAAGACGTCACATCTCTTGGCCAAGAGCAAGGACATGCCTTTTTCTTAAATGGTCCGGCGGCAGGATCATCTCAACGTCGTAGTTGGGTAGTCAAAACACTCGTTCGACGTGGAGTCGCATACTTATCACTTCGCGACTTGGACAAAGGTGCGCTTGGATGAAAATTAGTAGCTTTTGTTCATACTTATCGTTATCTAAAATGATTAGCTGAGCAAGATTTTGCAGCAAGCGTGGAACTTGATCCATCGAATGAAGCTTTAAAAGCCGATTTAGCTCGAGTTCAAAGTGAAAAGAAGCAAAACGAGTCTCAATGCGATCACGCGTTTCTTCCACTTGCTCCACTTCAAGTTTAAAAACATGAGATCATGCGCTGAATAAAAAAGGATTATTTATGTAAGAATATAAAAAATTGATGATGAACATGGACGTCTAGAGCAGTCCGATTGAAAGATTTGGTAGTGCCACATCTTGTGGTTCCGTTTCAATAGGTAATCGCCAACATTGACCAGCCTCTTCGTCAACATCTTGTTTATCGGCATTGATAGGATCACGTCTCCATACTGAATCTACTTTTGACGAACCAACACTAGTCAATGATGTCGACACCACTTGAGCGCAATACGCTAAAATATTACTCGCACTTCGTTTTGAAGCTCGTGAGCCACGATTACCCGTAGCACTTATAGAAGGCAATCCGTCTACAATAACTTCTGATCGCTCATAAGGGTGAATGCTTTTTTCTACTAAAAGAGATGGCATTGCATTCTCAACGTAATTTGAGCCTTGTGCCGGTAGACTTTTCGCACGGTTTCGACTGAAAACGATGGGAGGTACCAGTTTCAAAGAATGTTTCCGATCCATTTCATATTGGATAGATGATGTCGGGGATTTCTCGCACTCTGGAATGTTCGTTGCAAGATGAACACCCTTGGACCAAAGTTTATATGGTGCTTCGCTATGCGGAGTCACACAAGGCTCTATATCAAGCACAAATGACTTATGCCCTGAACATTTCCGTTGAGTTGCTTGCTGCACTTGATGCATCCAATCCGAGATTCGAGATATAATTGAGCGAACTTTACGTGCATTCTCCACCGCTTCTTGCTGTTCTTGAAGTACAGAAAGTAGTCGAGAACGTAGACGTTGCTCAATCGCAACGTGAGTTTCAACAGTTTGCTTCAACTTCATTTCAAGCTTTTCGAGATTCTGAGCATACACTGATTCAATTTGAGTTAAACGTTGATTTAAACTCGCATTTTCGTTTCGAAGATACTGCACTTCAGAAAGTTTTGTAATGACATCTTTGAACTGTAAAGAATGAAGCACTTGCGAACTCTTGTCAACACTTTTTTCATCATCTTGATTGTTATCTTGATTTCGATCTTGTTCAGTCTTGAAACTTATTTCATTCTTGCTTTCAACTGCAGTTAATTTATCTTGCCAGCCTACATCTGATAAACTTGATATCATTGTTGCCAAAACATTTTGTGAAACACCATGACGAAGAGTAGACTCAACCATTGATGGGATACTTTGGTTTTCTAGAAATGTGATTCTAGTAGATTGCGAGATATTTTTAAAAACATTTCCGTTAAATGGATAAGATTGTAAAGACACTTAAATATATCCACTTCAACGTGGATATATTACAATGAATTTTATTTTGATGCTGTGGAATTTTGACCTTGACATGTTATATATAGGTAACTATCCAATCTGTGGTTACTGTAACCTACACCATTTGGTAATCTCTAAATTTGTGGCTATAATCTCGCTATCTGTAGCTCCTTTCTTGCTTTTTATTCTGTCGCTCACTTTTGTCTCCGCTTACTCTGTTGAACTCATCCAAGACATAACATGATATTTCTGATTGTAAAAAGAGCAGGACAACACATTCCGTGGAAAACCTTTGGGTTTTAAGCTTGGCACAATTCATCTCGCACTACCACGAGTTTAAAAGTAAATCTAGTCTTGTACTTCACTCGTGCTGCTTTTTCACTGCAAATTGAACAGTATCTCCTCGTTCGTTGTAACCCATTTGTCGTGTATGCATCAGCACATTTGCTAGCACAGGAACTTTAAAGACCAAAAATGGGAACGACAATAGTCCATATGCTGTGCGTATCCAGTAGAATAATTGTTTGCGCTGCCATGATTCAAACGGTAACCAGAACACAAGGCTTGCAACGGCCATGGTGATGACAAAGGTTACTGTCTCGTACCCGCAAAATTTTATAAGATATCCACCACGATCTAGATGCACCTCATTGCCAAAAGCATCATGAAGAACCTCTTTATCTCGTATCTCCGAAGACTTAGTCCGATAGAGTACTGCCGCTTCTTGAGGACGAGCTGTATATGGCAGACGAAAAAATGCTGCCCACACGAGAACAATTTGAAGTGCAAAAAAACATGCTGTTACTTCTTCCAAAGCAGGACCAGTTTCGCCTTGACAGAGTTCCATCGATCCTAGCATAACGCACTTTATGTACATTGAGATACCGAGTACCATATGCACGATGCCAAGCGTGATGAATTGTGCAACTTTAAATCCCACAATAAATTGACACAACTGATGTTCGTTCGTCTTGTCCTTTATAATAAATAGAAAAATCCACCACAGTTGACCAACAATTGGCAAGAGACCCACACATGTGTACAATACCCAATACGGATCTTTAAACGATCTCCAAATTGTTTTGTCATGTGGAAACAAGTGGTGTAGAATATGCCCACGAACGGTACAAAAGAGACTAACATTTCGTTTGGCAACTGGAACGATGTTAGGGGATTTCGCACCACTTGGCACATCTACATCGTCATCATTCTGTCTTTTTGCTGTTTGATCTCTTTTAATAATCGACCCATTTTGACCAAAAACTTCCCTTGTCTTCCGTAGAATCTCCATCTTAACATCTGGCATAAATTGCTCAATACCAAGATCAATGTTTGTCTATATCAAAACAACATCAAATGCGTCAGTCTATTTTCCCTGCTCTCACTTACTTTCAAACTCCTACCTTCAAAAACATTGGCATATCTGGATCTTTTACTCTTTCTTTCAATCTCGCCGCGACAATATCCAGTGCACTTTCAAGAACTTTTCGCGCTGTGCGACGCATTGCCAGCTGCACCTCGTCCTTCGTATCTTTTGCAATGTCGTTCAATCGCTTGCCTGTTGACACAATCATTGAGCTCGTACTACCAACAATGTCACTCCATGCTGTAGGATGAACATCTGCAGCATCGGCAGCTCGTTCAGCTGCGTCCAACACTTGTTTCTCTGGGAAAATGTCAGGAAACACACGCTTGTACTCCTGTGCAAATACCTGCACGTCTCTAACCATCAACTTCATCTTACTCGTATGATCTGATTCTTTATTGTCAGTAAGAAATTGTCTTTTTTGTTTCTTGTTGAGTAAATTACGCCAGAAACGTCGCATTTCAAGCCGCTGTTGGACTGACAGCTGCGGCATATCTTTCATAGCCTGAAAGAAAAGTTCCGTACTCACAGGGCGTTCTAGTGACTCGATCTCTTCATCTTCTCGCTCCTCGCGTTCTTGGAGAAAAGAAAACACAAATACACTGGCCGATAAAGCCACCGCCCCGTACAACAGTCGCGCTCGCAGTAGCGTCTCTGGCATTGTGCATTTCCGTGATATTTATCAAATATGCAAGTTTTAGGGTAAATCGGACTATATTTTCATTTTGCTCTATTGACATACATGCGATCAGCTCCAATTTGCTTTACTTTGACTTACAAGACCGTCGAGGTTATTTCGACGGGATGGGAAGTTGAAGATGATACTTCTTTCCTAGTGGAGCTTAGGTGGGTCATGAAATAATCTCTGTGAGTAAAAATTGCGGCAGCTTTATGGCACATTACACTTCAACACTCGCCCTTGATGTTCACGCAGCTTGTCGCTTTGTCTCTCCATGCCTAGACTATAGACATTCTGTCAACGATCATTTCGTCTGTTGACTTGTATTTCAGTCAAATGTCCGCACGCTCGATTCTCTCGCGCAGAAAGTGTACTTGATGTCAATGTGCTTCGTACGTGAGAGGTAAACCGGGTTTTCGGCTAGCGCTATACATTCTTATTTGTCTTGGTGAATCAGTGTAACACCTGAATTCTTGTAGCCCATGTCCTTCAAAATCACACTAAGCCGAATCGCCTCTTGTACTGCATCGTATAGGCTCAAATACTCGGTCTCAGTGCTCTAGGTCACTACTGTTGGCTACCTCTTGGACTTCCTCGAGATCGCGCTGCCATTCAAAAAACACGTAGACGATTGTCGAACGTCGCGTGTCCAAATCACCAGCCCAATTTGCACCCCTAATACATCAAGAGCTCTCCCTTGACCGCGCCATTGATGACAATGCCCTGATCTTGAGTCGTCTTCACATACTTCAGAATGCGCTTCACAGCCACCGAGTGGCTATTATTGTAGCGCTCACAGAACTTGGAAGTTTCACCCACTGCGTGAGCAAGGTCCGGTCAAATGCATGCTGACACATACATCAGTGCACCAACTAGCTTGCAATACGAATGTTACGCCGCGGACACATCCTCTTCCGATGGCTTCATTATCGTCGACTTGCTGTCAGCCGGAGTATGCACAATCTTGCACATGTCTGCATCAAACTTCTTTGTAATCCTCCTGATGTACGCCCGCTGTTCATCAAGTTTAGATTGTCATCACGGTTGTGATGGATCACAATACTTCAGCTCACTGTGTTCCTCGATGCTATTGTCATTTTTTCAATGCACTGCAATCTTTGTCTTCGTTTTGCTGAATAGCATGAGGCCGTCAACATAAATGACGACAATGAATTACGCAGTGCTTGACTGACGGACATAAGCACACGGGTCGGAATCGTAGCGCTTGAAATCTTATCCTTCAAAATGTTTATCTAACTTGTCATTCCATTGGCGTACCGCCTGTTTTGTGCCGTAGAAATCCTTCTGTAGTAAGCACCTCATCTTCGGGCTGGCTTTGTACTCAAAGACACAAAAAAATTCCTCTCATTCATAACCAAAGAAAAATACCGTATCCACATCTACATTATCAGCTCCCATACCTCTTCTGCGGCTATTGCCAACGTAGTATCAATGGGCTCCTTCCGCGCAACTGGGGCAAATGTCTCCGTGTTGTCAACACCGGGACGCTGTGTATAGCCCTTTGCAACCGGTCGTTCCTTGAAACTCCTATTTTTTTTTTGTTCGGCGCGAAACACCCCTTGCACTCGATAGCTTTCTTGGTCTTTAGCATCGTCATGAGCTTTCAGGTCTTGTTGTCAATCTACACCTGAGTCGAGACGACTGACCCTCTGTGAGGATGGAGTAGTTCTCCTATTTGCCCCAGGTCATTGAGAACTGGCTCATAAAGCTGATTTCTCTGCTTGGCTCCGAGGGCAGGCACAACCTCGCTTCAGAAGGACCTGAAGCGATCAAAGCGCGCCTAGAGGAATTTGTAAGCTGTGAAAATGCTCTGCTAGAGCTCCTACAGCAGAAGATGTCGGCATCGACTGCATCCATGACACCACCTTCGGCGACGGAGGACGCCCCGCGACCCAAGCCGCTCATGGTGATTGTTAATACCTTCAAAGTCAAGGATAGAAAGAACTTCCTGTTGTGGAGGAGAGAGGTCGAGATGGTTATGTCGTCCGCCATGCCCCGGACCGAGCAACGGCGCGTGGTGCTAGCTATCACCAAGCTCGGGGGTCGAGAGCTAGAATGGACACTGACGTGCGGTACTTTTGTTAAAGTAGCGTTTCCGTCCTGAACGGAGCTGAAGCTGTAGCTTTGCGAGTGTTCTCGCCGCCTAACCAGGCATATCGCGTGCGATCGCGTTCCCCTTGCAGCCCGACAGAGCAAGAGAAAATTGGCGGAGTTTGTTCGACGGTTGCAGTCGATCCTCTCCCCAAGGAGGTGCCTCTCCACAGAGGTTAATCGACTCTGTGAGACCTGTGGGTGCCCGCACGCTGCGTCATCTAGTGTCAACCCCACTTGCTTCTCCATCGGAGCCCTGATGTTATTAACAACATCCGACGAAGTGTTGCTAGCCCCGCTGTCTTCGTCAAAATTGATAACGTGCCACTTCACGCGCATCAAAAGGGCCTTGTCCAAACTGTCATGGACCTTGTCCAGCTATGCCACTCGTGGCATGTAGCGACCGCTTTGAAACGTGAACAGTACTCAGTGGATAACGTGCCACTCCGATTGTGGCATCGCCCTCGGTGCCTCGGCCTTTGGTCGACCATCCGACACATGACATACAGCGACTGCTTCGATACTTGAGCAGCGCTCAGTGGGGTTATGTGCCACTCAACGTTCAACCCGCGAGCCATGCTCGGGGCACTTGTCCGATACACCTTCGGTGTTCACCAACTGGGATACTCTGATCTCCAGCACGTTGAACGTATAATAGCGTTTTTGCCTCCTGGCAGAGTTAGGTTCATGACTCACCAAATCTCCGCTAGGAGACAAGCACGTGGCTCCCAAGGTCTTCGACCTCCGGTCGATTCATGGATCATGGTGTTCCAACCATGCCAGACCAAGGATGTGGTCATACCTTGATCCCAAGTCAAAGACTAAACAGAGTTCTACGCTATCAAAGTTAAGAAACTTGACACCGGGGTCCACAGCGACCTTCGGCACAGTGACACAAGTCTTTGTCGCTAAGCGAACCGTGACGGTGTCACTCGACTGCGCCTTCAGCGCCTCAGCATACAGCTGATTTTCTTCGATCTTTGAGCGTCGAGCATAATTGCCCGACGCCCTGGAGTCGATGAGGATTCTTAAAGCCCTTCACGGTCGCTTCCATGACCAGCAAGCCCAGCTTGCATATATGTTCCGTGTTCAAGAGCACGCAGCTTTTCGAGGCTGGGCTCTGCTGACTTTAACCTCCTTGCGGAGTAACAAAACTCACTTCTTCCTCAGTATGCCACCCCGCGCCTACTAGGTGTTGTCGTTTCCCCGCGGCAAACCAAAAGACTGGCGAGAAGCGATATGTCGGTTCGATGAACCTTGACGCGCCTTCCGCAGGGGGCAAGCAGTCCGAAGTTAACGGGTGTCTCTCCAGAAGAAACACCGGTGAGTGCTCAGACGCTGCTCGGCAGCTCAAAGCTCTGCCTCCTTGTCCTCAGCATATATGAGATCCATCGGCTCAGGTTCGCTCGACGAGTTTTGAGGGTGTGCACTTCAATCAAATCATGCCGAACTAAAATTAAATTCGGCATTCAATGCTTCATTAACTTCTTCTTCAAAATTGAGACGGCTGCACGCGGGAGACTTCCATTCTGACCTTGCCAGTGGTTGGCGACGCCATATGCTAGCTGCAAGACGCCGGGCGTCGACCCTGACCTAGGATGTGTCTATCATAGCACAGCTACACACCCTCGTCAAAGGTATGACGGGGGAGGAAAACGGCGTCACTCTCGAGGCTATTCTTGAGGTGGATGCTCTTCTTGAGCTGGACGAGATGTCCCTCGAAGAGTTCGGCGGTGCTTGAAGGCAGGCCACTTAGCCAAAGTGGTCATTATAGGAGATGAAGTCGTCCTTGCTTCTGGATGAAGATATCCTAGTGGACACCAAGAAGGTGCTGACCGCACGAAGTAGATCTTCGATCTTGAAAAATCCCCGGGCCCGTACTAATCTTTGGTGAAGGAATTTCACGACGTCGTCTCCAAAGACCCGCCGTCGGCCCTACCTCCGGGCCGAGGTGTGCGTCATGTGATCGATCAGATTCCAGGAACCAAATACTGCTTAACACGCCAAGGTGTCCTGGTCAAGGAGCAGTGTGGCGTCATTGACGCCTTTTTTCGTGCAAAGTACGTCATAGGAATGGTGTGTGAGAGCAAGTCTTCCCATTCGATACCCACGTTTTGTTTCCGAAAGACGAACGGCACGTGGCGGATCGTTCACACTTACAATAAGCTCAACGCTGCCACCATTCCGTCGATTCCAAGGAAGGATGTTCAACAACATAGTTGGATGTACGAAGTACCGTACAAAGTACGGTGGACACGACTCGGTCGATGGTTATTACCAATTGCTTAAAGAGCAAACGATATTCCGCTACCAGCGGTGATTACTCCGAGCGGCATGCTCTGGGTGTGGCTGGTGATGCCCCAAGGGCTGTCAAATGCACCAGCAATATCCAATCGCCTTGTGATGCAGTTGTACAGTCCCCAACGGGCGTTATAACAGACATTACTCATAGTTGCAGCGGGGCTGCCGTAGCTCTTTGCTTAGAGGAAGCTTACTAAGGTCACCGACCTTACGCTCTATACTAGAATTACTATGAGTGTAGCGGATCGCAATCCGCTACCTCCAGAGTACCCCAAATCTTTACCCAAGCCAAATGTACTCTTCCATTCAGAATCAGTGAGGCTCTGGATGACATTTCTGACTAGCTGCATACATTACGTGATAATACCACTCAATCTTTAATATCAAGGGTATCGCTCGGCGTTTTTCGTGTATGCGTGTACTCTATATGCTCCCTGACATTCGTGTTGCGGACTACAGCCCAACTAGCACGACCAGGAGCGCACGAGATTGCTTCAATATCTCTTCTACCTAAACAAGAGCGTGATCAATGCCACAGCGGTGTCAAAACATGATTATACCCACAAGGTGTGTGCAATGGTATGATCGCTGTTCTCATGATCACCCGGTCTTCATTTTTTTAAATAGTATAAATCTAAGGTTTACCTAATCATATAGAAAAAAACTAATTATGCATTACCACTGGCAGTCCCGCCACGGGCGACGGATTTCTCGTCGAGGATTCGGAAAAAGTCGACTACGAGTCAAATATTCCTTCCCGGGATAATAATAATAAGAGGGCGAGGTGCGCCAATGGCGTGATGTGAGCATTTTGTGAACCTAGCGGACACCGTGCCCGTACCCGCCTTCTCGACCTCCGAAGATTATAGTGTTATTTCCTATCGCCTCGAAGAGGCACAGAAGCAGCAGCTGGATGCTGCCCACAGGACGGCTCTCACGCACTCGTATGCACGTTCGGTCCAAGAACCTCGTGTGGATTACGGCTTATGCTCGGCAAATCCCAGTACTGAAGTAAAGACGCAATCACTCGCTCATTTGGCGTCTACGTATTCGGGCCCCGGCCTCTACACATGCCAAGCTTGACGTATCCGAGCTCGCTTCGTGATACCTCAAAAGATCCCAATAGGTAGGTACCGCACTCAAATTCGTGCTTAAAGAGGAGGCGCTTCTAAATTACGCGATGCGAGCGATCCCTGTGGTGCTCGCCCCTGGCAAAATCGCTGCAGTTAACGAAGAGATCTTTACGCGATGGGAGAAGTTTCACCGGAAATTTTCTTTGCTGCACAACTTACAGTTGAGCCACCGAAGTGAGCGCGCGTGTGCAACACCATCTACAGTTTGAGTTTGCCAAACTCAAGGCGCGCCACTGACTTTCTTTGGATTGACGCCCTGTGACGTGTGGATTAATCCATCACGCTCCTGCGAGCCCCGTGGTCTCTCACACGGGTGGGTTTGCGACCGCAGCAGCTCAGGGCCATAGCTTGAGGTCAGCACATGACCTCATGCTTTCCTGGCTATTGCCGAGTAGCGCCGGGCGTACGACGACGCGGAGCGTCATGATCCCTTTGATCATAAGCGCTCACAACGTCTGGGCAGTCTTGCCGAAGTGGCATCACAAATTCCCACGAGCTCTTGGAGTGGGGTATCCCCGCCGCTTCACAAGATATTGGGTTTGACCCTGTCGATGACGTCGACCCACAAAGCGTTCCACGTGATAGAGGATGCCACCTTTCTCATCGAGAAGAGTCGGCGGCGGACGATGACGACTTGTTCGATCGCCGTCCGGTGACCCGCGAAGCTCTTCAAGCTCTAGAGGACAAAGTTCGTCATCATCAGCACTCCGCCGAACATCTTTTTCGAGGTGTGCGTAAGACCTCGATAGCTTGGGGCACTTTGTGCACCGACTGCCTCACATTGAAGACTTTCGCGCTCTGTCGGAGCGGCTCCTAGCCGACGCGCTTGGCTCCTACGCTGAACTTTCCGAGAAGGATGCACATCCACCCAGCGTATTATGTGAGCTTGCTTAAGCCGTACCGGGATCCGGCGCAAGTGAACGCGGAGGCTTTGGCGCCGGGGCGGCGTCGAAAGGCGGTCACCCTGTAGCTGAACCTGCGACTGGCTTTGAGCACGGAGCCCAACGATATCCGTTTCCAACTACGCAAGGCCTCGCTTGGTCATGACCTTAAAAGATCCAATAAACTCGTCTAAAAGACAGCAAAAATTGCATGTGAAGGGAGGTTTTTTAGCATTTAAAAAAACCACGATGTGTTCGACATTTCTTCTGCATCTTCCGTCTGCATGTCTTTGCTTTCAGCCATCGCATCGCGAACGTGTCGTGGGACACTCAGCCTGGTAGGCAGGAATTCATCGACTTAATTACAGACGGTGAGGGAGCTGACATCAGCTAACCGCTCGGATATTCCCCCCACCACCAAGCCCTGAACCATGGGATGGCGCCATCAGCGTCATTACGTAGAACAGCGTATAGACTGTGGACGAATGCACTGCAGCGCTCAGAGCGAGCTAGTATGGCACTCCAGCGCCTCGGCGTCCCAGCGCAGACGCTGTGAAGGGCGTCCTCGACGACGCAAATCACGCGCTCGGTTTGACTGTCGATCTGCGGATGGTCCACTGTTGACATGTCCAGCTTGGTGCCCAGTGCCTTGAATAGCACCGATTAAAACCTCCTAGTGAAGCTTGGGTCTATTTTAGAGACAATAGACTCCGGGTGTCCATGTTGTCGAAAGACACGATACACAAACAGCGTCATTGTATCTGCACCGTCGATGGTGTCCGGCATTACCGCAAGATGAGCCATCTTGCTCAAACGGTCGACAAATACCACCACACCCGTAATGCTCGCCGAATCCTTCGGCAGGCCAAACACAAAGTCCATACTCAATGACTGTCAACACCCGGAGGGTACCGGTAAACTGGCCAACGGCGCCGCCGCTTCGGAGAGGATTCAACCCTCTGACACGTCTCACATATGCCCACATATGTGCTTGTCCATTTGTACAGCTTGAGCCACCAGTAGTGGTAACTAACAAAGCTGTAGGTATTCACGACCGAGATGACCACCAAATGGGGTGTCGTAGACTTCATAGAGTAAACGGTATTTCAAACCCTCATCTTGATGAACCACCATTTGTGGCGTATCCGTCGAATCGGTGTTATAATACAGCAATCCGTTACTCAACGAATATTGGTGCAACAATGTGCGCAATCGCGTCGATAATGTCTTGTCCGTTTTTAAACTCCTTGCTCCCGAGAGCCTGTAGCAGCGCTACACATATACCAGTGCTCCCTGCCAGGATCGATGTGGCGACCTCCAGATAATGAGGTTGACGCTCTACAAACTGAGCCAAAGGAGCGTCAGGGATAGGTATGACAGTAACTTTGTCATATAATTTTACCGAACGCCAGCATCCTTACACAATGAATCGACGACAATCAACTTGTTTGAAAAGCATAAAGATTGCCTCAGTGAGACAGAGTAACACCAACGGTCCCAGTCATCACAAAAAGGTCTCATCATCTCGTTTAGCAGTGCAAACAAGCTAAGATAATTACCACTGTTGAGACAACCTTCAAAATGAAAGATTCTGGACATGCTCTTGCCATTTACACAAAATGATCCATTCGGATCGAATCAAATCCGTCAGGGACGACGTCACCGTCGTGACACGAGCAAGCCCATAATCCGGTCTGCGTGACAACGCATCAGCCAAAGCATTTATACATCACCTCGAAGCTATATTCTGCGAAGAAGGAAAGCCACCTGGCCATCTTCTGCAAAATGTGAGGCGACTGAGTCGCAGTGGGTAGTGATGCATGATCTGTGTCGACCACAAACGGCTTAGTTCTTCCGCAGCCCTAAGCTGGCAAGATTCGAACACGATTACCCGATTTCCCCCTCGGCGTCTCCTTGCAGCAGTGCACAAAACCGAAAGCAAATCCTGAAGCGATACAGACGACACTCAAAGGACGAACGTGGTTTGGCAACGTCAGTATCGGTGCATACAGGGAGCTGTCTTTGACCCCGTCAAAAGCCTCCCGATGCTCGGTATTCCGACACCATTCTGTATCCTTTCTAAGTAGATAAGACAATGGCCGTACCATTTCCGCATAATTTGTGCTACACTTGTGCAAATAGTTGGCAAGGCCAAGCCACTTGCGCAAGTCCTTTTGATTTTTTGGAACCGGCCATTTCACAACGGCCTTGACCTTAGCGAGATCCGCTCGCACGCTTCCCAATGAAGTACCCTTAAAAAGGAATTCGCGCCGAAAATGGACTTATCAGCATCAGCATACAGCTTATTCGTGCGCGAGCACTTGAGCACCGGTCTTGAATGGACGATTTGGTTTTCCACATCTGTCCTCCCGTGCCCCGAACAACTGCGGACGAATATGGTGTCAAAGTATGTCTGTGAATACGCCCGATAGGACCTGAACAATTGCGGCACAAGACAATTAAATGATCCTGGACATCAGCAGCCACTCCCAGCGCATGTCGCTCGAAGTACTCAGGTTACGATTATCGGAATATCATTCGCTCTCATGAGCAATTGATCGACCATATCGAGTGCACTGTACTTTGTACATTCAACCATGTTTTCTGGAGAACATCCTTCATGGAATCGGCGTCTGTGTCGGAATAGTGGTAGCGCTGAGCTTCTTGTAAGCGCAAACGAAACGCCACTTGCCATTCGGATGCTGAACACAAAACGTGGGTGTCGAAGGGGGAGACTTGCTCTCACGCAATATTCCTGGGTCGTGCTTCGCACGAAAAGAGTCACCAACGACATCACACTTCTCCGTGGGCAGGGGCCATTGGCGTATTACGCAGTATTTGGTTCCCGGGGCCAGCTCGATCTCATGATTCACATCTCGGCCCAGAGGTAGGACCTACGGCAGGTCTTTGAAGACGACGACTTGAAATTTCTACTTCATTTCGACGATCCACTTTGTGCGCTCATCTCCCTCTTGGTGGCCTCCAAGATATCTTCATCCAGAAGCAAGGACGAATTCATCTTCTCGTTCGGTCGTATAATGACCACTTTGGCTGAATTACCTACCTTCAAGGCACCGACAAACTCTTCAAAGGACATCTCGTCTAGCTAATGTAGAGCATCCACCACAGTAATATTCTCGAGGAAGATGTTGCCGTCTTCCTCTCCCGTCATACCGTTGGCAAAGGTGTATAGCTGTGAGCTATCGTCTAAACACATCCTGGGTCAGGGTCGACGCCCTGATCAAATAATGTACGGCCTGCCGTCTCCTCTCGATAAATATTTTACGTCTCGTCGATACATGCGGAAACACGCACTCAGCGACGTCCAGTGTCTCCACCCCCTGCCTTGATGTTATTTACAACTTTCGACGAAGTGCTGCAATTACCGCAGTCTTGGTCAAGTGGATCACGTGTTACTCCACACGCAAGAGAAGGACCTTGCTTAAGATGCCTCGGGCCTCGTTCGACGATGCCAGAACCGAGCACTCCACCTCGCATGAAGCAAAGCATTCGTCTGCTAACCGACTAGAAGCCGCTCCGACAGAGCGCGATAGCCCTCAACGTGAGGAGTCGGTGCACAACGT